AATTCCCCTCAGGACACAGGAAGTGACCACAATCCCGGGAAAGAATTCAATGATGGTCCAGCAGCGCTGAAAGGTATCTCATCCACATCAATCTGAGCTTATGTCCTGACCAGCTGCGACAAGCAGTGAGTGAAAATGACATTTTGTTGGTCACTGCTTTGTACTTCAGAAGGCTGACCCGTCCACACTGAAAAATCATTTGAGCAAAGTATATTCGACATCAAATACGGACGAGGAGAGCTGAGAAATTATGGATTTTGGCAAAACCATCACGATGATGTTTTCTGGAAAATACAAGGTGTGTGTTTTTAGGGTTGCACTTTTTATGTATTTATAACACATTATAAGCAGAGTATTCTTAAGGCATTATAGTGAATGCATGAAGAAACCTTATAATATGTTTTCATAAGTTTTAATGCATTATAATATTTACTTATTTGTGGTTATAGCTTTTAAGATTATGAAGATTTATAATACACATTGAACACAATGCATGGATTATATTTCCCATATTATAATAATGTATTATAATAAGTCTCATATCTTGCCATTGTTAACTTGCTACTCTTATAAATAACAACAATAAAAATTATATTTTTTCTGAAACAGCCATAAGATCAGATATCTGACACATTTGCTTTTAACTATATTTATTATAATATCAGTGAGATACTGTACAGATCTTAAATAAATAATGTCGAGATTTATAACTTTCATTTTCTGTGAAGCTGCTTTGCAACGATTTGTATCGTGAAAAGTGCTCTACAAATAAACATGAATTGAATTGAATTAACACTGCTTTTAGAAGAGACTAGTAGAGAGCCACTAGTTTGGGTTATTTTGACCACAGATCGTGCATTAATCCAGCAGATTGAGATGATTTAGCTTTAGGTTTCGTAGTTTCACTGAATGAACTTCAATTTATACAGTCGTGCGTAAGAGAATAACAGCTTCAAACACGAACTTATAAACAGCTGAACTGATTAAGACGACGTTTTCATAACTTACTCATCTCGATGGAAAACTCGACAGCTTCGTCCAGACTTCTTGAAGTACCGTCGCTGGAAATTTACCTCAAATCTGTCTAGTCAGATTTCGCGCTCTTTTCAGGACCGTAACCGTCAGATGACGTCATCAAGTGTTTGAATCACAGTCTTTTCGCAATCGTTTATGGAAGCCCGTTTCCGCCACTGAATAAAAAATTAAAAAAGGTTATTGCGACTTTTTATCTCGCAATTCTGACTTTTTTTTTCTTGTAACTGACTTTTTTTCTTGCAATTCTCACATTTTTCTCGCAATTGCAAGTTTATATCTCGCAATTCTGACTTTTTTCTCGCAACTGACTTTTTTTCTTGCAATTCAGTTTTTTTTCTCGCAACTTTTTTTCTTGCAATTATGCATTTTTTCTTGCAATTGCAAGTTTATATCTCGCAATTCTGACTTTTTTCTCGCAATTCTGACTTTTTTCTCGCAACTGACTTTTTTTCTCGCAACTTTTTTTCTTGCAATTCTGACTTTTTTTCTCGCAATTCTGACTTTTTTCTCGCAACTGACTTTTTTTCTCGCAACTTTTTTTCTTGCAATTCTGACTTTTTTTCTCACTTTTTTTTTTCTCGCAATTCTGACTTTTTTTCTTGCAATTCTGACTTTTTTTCTTGCAATTCTGACTTTTTTCTCACTTTTTTTTTTCTCGCAATTCTGACTTTTTTTCTCGCAATTGCGAGTTTATATCTCACAATTCTGAGAAATAACTTTTTTTTTACATTCATATTCTGGTTTCAATTACAGGTTTGTCAGGCTGTCAGTTACTAGAATTTATTTTTTAATTTATTTTTTTTTTATATTCTCAGCAAGACATGTTTGCCATTTATGCTGTTATTATGACAAAGCTGCTTGTTTTTAAAATGTTTTAATGATACATAAAATTAAACCGTGATTCTTTTTGCGATTCCAGAAGTTTCAAGATTTCTATGTTCTTCAATAAAAGCAAAAGCTATTGAGAGGGAAAAAAAGTTATGATTCCAGTTTACATATTTTCTTCTTAGCGCTGCAATATAGAGTTATTTTAATTTTAAATAAATATAATGTCATTAATTTGTCAAATAATTCCATTAAGTAATTGAAACAATATTGTGTTATATTCAATAAAACATGTCCTTTATTATATATGATATACGCCAGAACATTTGTTTCGGTCACGGAGAACACAAGAAATACAATTTGCAGAAAAATACAAGTTTATTTGGTTAAAACATAACACAAAATAACACTGTTTAAATACAAGTAACATATGAGTATAAAATGTGGAAAATAAATGCAAAAAGATAAACATTTGTGGTAAATTACAATAATATCTTTCCGATTAATGTTTTTCGCCCTCCTCAACCATAAAAACACAAGTCTCCAGTAGATTAACATGTATCTTCTGTGATAAACCATTGCATTGTGCTCATTTCTGTTTGTAGGCACCGAAGTGAAGTGTTCTTCAGAGGTAAGACTGAGCTGATGCATTACCGTCAGAACTCAGTCCATGTCCATTAATAACTGCTGCGCATAAACATAACAGTTCTGCTGGTGTTCAGACGCTGCCTCGCCGTCACATGAATCCAGAGCTAAAGAACGACAGACATCTGGTTTGAGAACGGACATGCATTTACATATAATGTGTGATTTTTGTCCATTTAGATATTAAGTAGGATTCATTCAAATGTAGAGCTGATTGATTATTTCTTATCTTGTTCAGCTGATACTGATCCTTATTTGTTGTATTTTTATCAAGATAAACATGATTAAAATCACAACTGAGAGTTTTTATTATTATTATTATTATTATTTAGTGTCATTTTATTGTTTATATTTAATTCAGCAGTTTATTTTCACATCTAAATATGTAATATTTATGAATTTACTAATTTATTTCAGTTTTCCATTATGAATGTCAAGTAGGATTCATCAGAATCTGAAACTCGATATCAATCCTAATTTTTAACATTTCTTTTATCAAGAAATTGTAGGTTGTATGTAGGTTGGTTAAAATAAAAAGGACAGCAGGCTTACACAAAAATGATCCATATTAAGATTATGAGGCTTATGAGGAAAGAGCAAACGAATCTTCATGCCAAATTTATATTAATCACAACTGAGGAAATTAATTATTATTATAAATTAGTTTATTTACTATTATTATTTATTACTTTAATGTTTATATTTTACTCACCAGTTTATTATCCAATAATTAATTTTTATTTATAATAAATTACATTTCATATTTTATTTTATTTTTTAAATATTATTTTTGTTATTGATGATAAATATTATAATTTTTATTTATAATAAATTACATTTAATATTTAATAAAATTTTTTAAATGTTTATTTTTTTATGCATAATAAATATTATAAGTTTTTTTATTTATAATAAATTACATTTAATATTTAATTTTATTTTTTAAATATTTAATTTTTTTTTTATTGATAATAAATATATATATTTTTAAAATAATAAATTACATTTAATATTTACATTTTTTTATATTTATTTTTTTATGTATAGTAAATATTATATATTTTTTATTTATAATAAATTACATTTAATATTTAATTTTATTTTTCAAATATTTTATTTTTTATTTATAATAAATTACATTCCCTTAATTTTTCATGTTTTTGGAAGTTGGTAATATAAGTTTTGTTTACATTTTACCATTTAAATATCAAATTCATCAAAATCTAGAGCTGATAAATGTTTGGCCAATACAAATCCTATTTTTGTTTTATTTTATTCTTTTACCAAGAGCTCTGATAAACATGACAAAAATACAAGCCAAAAAAAATCATATGTTGATTGTTTAAGTAAATAAAAATAAAACTTGTAAACAAAAAAGACAAAAAAAAAATATAGGCCTATATTTTAAAAAAGCAGGCTTACACAAAAAGTATCCATATTAGGATCCATATTAATTATGAGGAAATGACAAACTAATATTAATCACAACCGAGGGGTTTAATTATTATTATTTAATTTATTTATTATTATTTATTTAGTTTATGATCCTCTTGAAATGTGTGATATTTTATTTTCACTTTATTAGACACTGGTACTATAAGTTCCTGTGCTGCAGGGTTGCCATGTGTTTCTTCAGAAGTGCTCCTCACATGTTCTGTACGGGCTTCACTCACTTCTTGCGCTCTTTGTCCTTCTTGTTGTTGGAGCTGGTGTTGAAGGCCTGCGCCTGCAGGAGCTCGCTGGCAGCTCTGCGCTTGCTGAAGACGCTCATCTCCTCCTCCAGACTCCGGCGCTTCTCCTCCAGCTTGCTCTTCTCCTCCCCATGCAGTCGCTTCAGCTGCTCGAACTTCCCCTGCAGCTGGAGCACACACACACTGCTGGTTAGTAGCTCAACCACTCGTCAGCTAGTTATCTGATATCATGCACTGGTGAGCAGAGCTGACTGTAGAATGCCACAGAATTTTGCAAATTTAATATTTAATAAAATTTTTTAAATGTTTATTTTTTTATGCATAATAAATATTATAAGTTTTTTTATTTATAATAAATTACATTTAATATTTAATTTTATTTTTCAAATATTTTATTTTTTATTTATAATAAATTACATTCCCTTAATTTTTCATGTTTTTGGAAGTTGGTAATATAAGTTTTGTTTACATTTTACCATTTAAATATCAAATTCATCAAAATCTAGAGCTGATAAATGTTTGGCCAATACAAATCCTATTTTTGTTTTATTTTATTCTTTTACCAAGAGCTCTGATAAACATGACAAAAATACAAGCCAAAAAAAATCATATGTTGATTGTTTAAGTAAATAAAAATAAAACTTGTAAACAAAAAAGACAAAAAAAAAATATAGGCCTATATTTTAAAAAAGCAGGCTTACACAAAAAGTATCCATATTAGGATCCATATTAATTATGAGGAAATGACAAACTAATATTAATCACAACCGAGGGGTTTAATTATTATTATTTAATTTATTTATTATTATTTATTTAGTTTATGATCCTCTTGAAATGTGTGATATTTTATTTTCACTTTATTAGACACTGGTACTATAAGTTCCTGTGCTGCAGGGTTGCCATGTGTTTCTTCAGAAGTGCTCCTCACATGTTCTGTACGGGCTTCACTCACTTCTTGCGCTCTTTGTCCTTCTTGTTGTTGGAGCTGGTGTTGAAGGCCTGCGCCTGCAGGAGCTCGCTGGCAGCTCTGCGCTTGCTGAAGATGCTCATCTCCTCCTCCAGACTCCGGCGCTTCTCCTCCAGCTTGCTCTTCTCCTCCGCATGCAGTCGCTTCAGCTGCTCGAACTTCCCCTGCAGCTGGAGCACACACACACTGCTGGTTAGTAGCTCAACCACTCGTCAGCTAGTTATCTGATATCATGCACTGGTGAGCAGAGCTGACTGTAGAATGCCACAGAATTTTGCAAACTGTGGATGAATAAATCAAAAGGCTACATTTGTATCAAATCACAATATGGACTGACATCACAGCAACCCGTCAAAATAAAAGTTTGGTGTGACTTGAAGAAATTGTGACAGAAATAAATTGCTATTTTAACAGCAGGACTAGAATGTACTAATGTAATACTTTTTTTTTTTTTTTTTTTAATTATTAAAACTTTTTAATTTTATAATTAAACCTTTCAATTAAACTTAAACCTTAAAAGCTTTATTTCTTAAGGAATAGTTGCTTTTTTTCTTACATATTTTAATTTTAACAGTAAACGGTAAAAGAAAAAAAAAGAAAGGGTAGTTTAATTTGATTAAAAGGTGAATTAATGATTTATGCCCTCATTTGATTACCAGAAAAATTTAAATACGCAAATACAGAATTTCTGAAAAATAAAATATTAATATGGCCCTATTATTGTGTAAAAAATTTTTTTAGTTGTTTTTATAAATTTGATTAATTAGACATGCTTTTTGATTATTAAAATTTCATTCAAATTCAATAAAAAAAATGTAATTTAATTAAAAATGGAATCCAAAAAAATTTAAATGGAAAAAACTGAATTTGGTAAAAAAAATTAATGGAATTTGAGAAAAAAAGAAAACAGATTTCATAGGGCCCTAAAAATGTCTTTTATGTTACACTTTTAATAAACTGTTGTGAAATTGTATAGGTTTCATGATTTTAATTAATTAGACATACTTTTGGATTACTAAAATGTAATTTCAATTTCCAGAGAAATGAAAAAAAAAAAAAAAAGTAATCCAGAAAAATGTAAAAGTAAAACAAAAACCCCACAGATAATGAAACGGATGGAACATGCTCCTGTGAATGCAGGCGTCGTACCTCTCTCTCGGCGTCTTTCAGCTCGGACTCTTTCTCTTTGACTCTCTGCACAAACGTCTGTCGCATCTCCTCCTCTCGTCTCTGCAGCTCGCCCACAAACTCCTGCCGCTTCGCCTCGTACGTCTGCTGAAGACTGACGGAATACAGCGGCTTAAACTCAACACTAATAACAGAGCATCAGTGATCTGAATTCAGGGAATCATTTGGTCAAACTGTCTGATAAAGCCGTGGGAAAATCAGGCAAGAGAAACAGAATCAGCAGGTCTAATACCCTCCTGATCGATCAGTGTTAATGAAACAATAAACTGAGTTGACGTCCGTCAGTCTTGTTAGACTTTTTAAATTTAATTTAAGACTTCAAGACTTTTTTTAAGACCTGCACAAATGAAACTAGATAAAGTTCGTCAAGACAAACTTTGAAGTTGGCTTGAGAAAGACAGACCAGAACGTTTGAAAAAGTTGTAAAAGTTTGATGATAGATAGATAGATAGATACTCAGAGTGGTTGCTAGGTGCTATGGTACTTGGGGTGGTTGCTAGGGCGGTTGCTAGGGTGTCCGGGGTGGTTGCTAAGGTATTCTGGATAGTTGCTAGGTTGTTGCTATGTGGTTGCTAGGGTACCCAGGGTGGTCGCTAAGGTACCTGGGGTGGGTGCTAGGGTGTTGCTATGTGGTTGCTTAGGTACCCGAAATGGTTGCTAGGGTGTTGCTATGCGGTTGCTAGGGTGATGCTATGTGGTTGCTAGGGTACACAGGGTGGTTGCTAAGGTACCCGGGATGGTTGCTAGGGTGTTGCTATGCGGTTGCTATGGTGCTCGGGGTGGTTGCTAAGGTGTTGCTATGCTAAGGTGTTGCTATGCGTTTGCCAGGGTACTCGGGGTGGTGGATAGGGTACCTGGGGTGGTTGCTAAGGTGTTGCTATGTGGTTGCTATGGTACTTGTGGTGGTTGCTAGGGTATTGCTATGTGGTTGCTAGGTTGTTCTGGGAGGTAGCTATGTAACAGAGTGATTAGAAATAATAGATAGATAGATAGATAGATAGATAGATAGATAATGCTGGACTTTTAATTATAAACAATGCCTGAAATATACGGGACTCTTATTTTGAAATATTTATGCTTTACTTCTTCCTGCAGCTCATTAAAAAAATGAGGGCGATAAAACATGCGTCTTATAACCATCTACAACATATTATAATATAAACACAATAATGCAAACATTGTCATTTATCAATAGTAGATCATAATCGCTTGACATGATATTCATTGACTGCAAACTGCTCTGAAAGCATGAACCTGTAGAGTCAGTGTTATTATAGTCATTGAGATATTAGTATAGTTTTTATTAATATTTTGAATTAGTTTTAATTTTATGTTCAATTTTGCCATTTTTTGTTTTTTTATGTCTATTTAGTTTTTATTTCATTTTATTTATTATTTATTTTACTTATATAATTTATTTATTTTATTATTTTAGTTACTCTAGTACATCAAGTTAAACCAAATGAAAATGAGAAATGTATTATAAAATAAATTTTAATTATTTTTAAATTCTATTTCAGTTAACATATGTTTTATTTCAAGTAACGAAAATGTTTTTTTTTTTAGTTTACTATAATAGCCCTGTGCAGAACATGCAAAAGCACTGCGTTCTTACTTTAAACGTGCTCACACTTGTTTAATTCAATCAAAGCATTTTGAAGTTTAATAATCATATTCCTGTTTTTCCATCCACCCCAATGTATGATCTCTTAAAATGATAATTTATCCTTTTGTTCCACCGTTCCCACGCTCACCTGACGGGCTTGCACTCGGGGTCGGTGTCTCTGAAGCCCATCTCCTCCAGCTTGCAGCGTCTGTAGAGCTCGTAGTGCCGCGTGTGCGTCTGCTCGCGCAGATCCTCCGTGTTCACGCAGATCAGCATCTCGCGCAGCTTCACGAAGTCGCAGTGGTTCTCGTTCTCCACTGAAACTGAAGGGAACTCAAAACGCCAATATGGTCTCTAAACTTAAATGTCTTTTTTTAGTAATGCTAAAAATAAAAATAAAAAATTATAAAAGTAACATAAAAATTAACATTCAAATAAACATAAAAATAACATAAGTTCAAACTTTTTTAAAAAGCTGGAAGTTATATATATATTTTTAATTTGAACTTGTGTAAAATAAATTAAAAAATAATTGTAAAATATATATTTGTTTTTGTAAAATTAATTAAAAAGTAATTATAAATTAAAAAGTAATTGTAAAATGAAAATACATTTTTTTGTAAAATAAATGAAAAATAAATTATAAATTAAAAATTAATTGTAAAATAAAAATACGATTTTTTTGTAAAATAAATTAAAAATTAATTATAAATAAAAAATTAAATGTAAAATAAAAATAAAATTTTTTTGTAAAATAAATTAAAAAGCAAGAAGTAGGAAGTTCCAACAGAACTCGATTACTTTTGCATTTATTTTACAAAAACATTGTATTTTTATTTTACAATTACTTTTTCATTTATAATTACTTTTTAATTAATTTTACAAAAAAAAATTTTTTTACAATAATTTTTAAACATATACACACAATATACAAATAAAATAAATAAAGATAAAAATTGAATTATTTAAAATAAAATAAAATGAAATAAAATAAAATGGCTTGAATATCTCTGTTCACAAACACTAAAATATGGAAGTAACTTCTCCTGTATCTTCCGATCACACTCTTCCTCAGTATTTCTGTCTTGTTTTCCAGTGAAACTGTCTAAAGATTCATAAATCAGGATCCATTTACTGGAGAAACACAATTAGATAAAATAAGAAGTCTTGTTTTCTGAGAAACTGATCAAAATGAAGTGAGTTTATGATTAAAACGGGAACAAATCTGATTTTGATCAGTTTCTCAGAAAACAAGACTTCATTCGCACATTGTGCGTCTCCAGTAAATGTATGTTTTAGATTGAAAACAAGACAGAAATACCGAGGAAGATGTTCGTGTTTGCAGTGCAAAGCCCGCCAATTTAGCAGCATAAAATCTTTAGGCGTTTAGTATAAAGTAAACTGGACATGCACAAGCAAAACTAATTTTCTTCATGTTTTCTGAGCTCGCAGTCCGTAATCTGTGCTCGCAGTTTCCGTTTATCTAGTAGTGCATCCATCTAAACACATATATCTTCATATGTTTTCAGTGTGTGCCGTCATGGCAAAACTAATTATTTCTTGATTTCACACACACAAGCTTTTCTAGTATTGTTGTGTACTCTAAAGGAGCAGCGGTTGGTGGCTTCAGGTGCCACTCATGAGGTCACTTCCTGTCCTGTCCTGTCACTTCCTGTCAGGCTCACCCTGCACGACGCCCCAGGGATACTGCCTCGCCTTCAGCATCTTGTTCCCGATGTTCACCTCCTCTGTGCTGCCGACGACGGCGAACGGAAGATGACCCTGGAAGAGCCCACCAAACACTCTCTAACTATTATTACAGTTCATTATTGATGAAGCTACTGTCAATAGTTTGATTGTGAAACATGATTATTCCCAGCTGGTGAATGAATCTCAGGTCTGGGAATACATTTGGAGAAATCTTAGTAAAGCTTAATGAGTAAAGCCCATAGAATGGCTGCTGTAATCAAAAACAAGAGACCACTAACAAAATATTAATAATTGATTGCATTGTAGTCAACATATGCTTTATTTCCTGTCTTCCTTTTGTTTTTCTATGCGCTTTTTTTTGTATAGTACAGTAACACCTATATTCTGTAATAAACTGTAATTGTTTTTTTTGCCGAATAATTTAATCCGTTTTCCTGATTCCTTAAACAGCGTTATTATAGTTAACTAAAAAAAAATTTTTTTGCCGAATAATTTAATCAGTTTTCCTGATTCCTTAAACAAGGTTATTATAGTTAACTAAAAATAGAAATAAACCATAAAAAAAAATGTTACATGAAATAAAATAAACGTTAACTTAGATAAATTTAATTTTTTTATTTATTGCTGTTAGTTAACATTTCTCATTTTCATTTAGTTTAACTTTATACGCTAGAATAACTAAAAGTAGAACTGAAATTGAATGCATTAAAAAAAGATGAAAATTGTTTATTTCTGCTAGTTTCCAAAGCAACACGTCATTTTAATTTAGTTTAACTTGATGCACTAAAACTGAAATAAAAATTATATAGACAAATATTTTTTAAAAACTATTAAAATTGACAAAAACATAACAAAATTACTAAAACTTTAAAATTAAAATGAAAGAATAATTAATATATATATATGAATAATTTTTATTGATATATTTATGCAATTATAAATTAATATGGAAAATATAAAATTTGTATTAAAAATATATATATATATATATTATTTTATATCATCATATATATTTTTTATTATGAAATAAAATAAACATTAACTTAGATACATTTTATTTTTTAATTATTGCAGTTAGTTAACATTTCTCATTTTCATTTAGTTTAACTTTATGCGCTAGAATAACTAAAAGTAAAACTGAAGAATAATATAATATGATTAATTAATAAAAATTATATAGACAAATATAAAAATAAATTATTTAATTTACAAAAACGTAACAAAATTAATACAACTTTAAAATTAAAATGAAATAATAATTAATATCATATATATTTTTTATTTATTAAAAAATCTATAATAGTATCTCAATAATAATCAAATGTATTGTTTTCTTCTTCCCAGTCTAACACACTCCTTATATGTGACCCTGGAGCACAAAACCAGTCATAAGTGTCAATTTAATCTATTATTTTGACCCATACAATGCATTTTTGGCTATTACTTAAACTTTGATGGTTCGTTAAAAGTGAATACTGCACACATAACCCGTTCTTCCAGCTGTTTCTGTGATCTCTCTCAGGACTCACGTTTACGGCGGTGTTGATGTTGGCCACGGTCTCGTCGTCGATGGGAAACTGGTAGATCTGCACGCCGTTGCTCACCAGCTCGCTCATGATCTTGATCTTGATCTTGAACTTGTGCAGCTCGCTCTTGGAGATGGTGTCGGCTTTAGCGATGACGGGGATGATGTTGACCTGTATAGGGAAACCACAGGCTTGTGTTCAGCCACCGGCCACGTCTAAAACATATCAACACATTACGGCAGAGAGGAAGAAGCTCGGGAATAATCGCAGTCTGACCTTGCTGTCCAGTTTCTTCATAGTGACCAGGTCTAGGGATTTGAGCAATTTACAGTGAATTTAGAACAGCTAAGGGGCGTTGTTAGGCTAAAACCTCCCTTAGCTGTTATAAATTCACTGTAAACCACGGCTTCACGGGGTTTGTTTCTTCATAGTGACCAGGTCTAGGGATTTGAGCGAGTGTCCGGACGGAGCGATGAAGTACAGACGCGCGTGGATCCTGGAGTCGTGGTAGTTATGGAGCGAGCGCTTGATCTTCAGCTCCTCCTGTAAGTACGACTCGAACTGCGTGTCGATGTAATCCACTATGTGCTGGTAACTATAACACGGAGAGAGAGAACGTCGGGATACACGCAGAAAAGACAAGGTTTCGGATATAATTCTTCATTAAAGGAACAGTTCAGACGAAAATGAACATTTCTCAGATCATCGGAGATCAGGATGAGTTTGTTTCTTCATCAGATTTGGAGAAATGTAGCATTGCATCAGTGTCTCAGCAATGGATGCTCTGCAGTGAATCTCTCAGCACCGGAACTCTCGGGTTTATAATGCTACATTTCTCCAAATCTGTAACAGTGATAAATAATCACTGAGTGAAGACGCCTGACCTCTGTTGTTTGTTCATCTGATCGCCGAAGCCGACAGTATTAACCACGGTGAGCTTCAGACGAACGTTGCTCTCCTGGAGATCGTACGTCTGCGCTCGCAACCTCACCTTCGGCTCAAAATGAGACGACTCGAAATTCTCAAAATTGGTGTTGAAAAGAGTGTCCATCAGCGTGGATTTACCGATCCCAGTTTCTCCTGGAGGAATAAACACAGTACATATGAACCCGATCCACGAGTCCGTGCGTCTCAAATCTGATCCTCAGGATCTTTTGAGGAGCGTTTGTTTCCAGAAGCTTTACTTTCACTGTTCCTCAGCGGAGGAATGATCTTCACAAGCCTCCAGAACATCTCACATCTTCTGAGGAGCCTTTATTTCTTCAGCTCTCAATCACTGCATTATATGTTTTCTTACCGATGCAGAGGGTGTTGAAGCAGAATCCCTGACTAGTTGACTTGACTAGTTGATCCGGCAGACTGTCGAACCCGACATGACCTGACAGAGCCAGAGGACGAGCGTTCATGTCCTGGAAGAAACCAGTGAGCGAGAAAACATGACGCTAATATAAAACTGCTTTTCAAATCGTACAATCATATGTAACTATAAATATGTGACCCTGGAGCACAAAACCAGTCTTAAGTGTCAATTTTGTGAAATTGAGATTTATGCATCATCTGAAAGCTGAATAAATAATCTTTCCATTGATGTATGGTTTGTTAGGATAGGACAATATTTGTAAATCTGGAATCTGAGGGTGCAAAAAAATCTAAATATTGAGAAAATCATCTTTAAAGTTGTTCAAATGAAGTTCTTAGCAATGCATATTACTAATCAAAAATTAAGTTTTGATATATTTACGGTAGGAAATTTACAAAATATCTTCATGGAACATGATCTTTACTTAATATCCTAATGATTTTTGGCATAAAAGAAAAATGTATAATTTTGACCCATACAATGTATTGTTGGCTATTGCTACAAATATACCACAGCGACTTAACACTGCTTCTGTGCTGCAGGGACACAAATATGCAATAAATGCTTTAATAAAAATACGTCAAATATTTCTAACCGGTTTGACAACTGACTAGTAAACTTTTAAAAGAAATATTAGCCTATAGCTAAGTTATTAATTTACATTGGGGAATGTATTCAGATTAGTGATTACCGATTGATTGATTAGATGTTTGTATTCTGATTGAGAACAGCATTATTTTAGTATTATTTATATACTATTATAGTTTTTATTAATTATTGAATTAGCTTTTATTTTTATACTTTCAGTTTTCATTTAAATTTTAGTTACATTTTTAGTAATTTTGTCGTGATTTTTTATTTATTTTAAATAGCACTATGTAGGTTTAATTTATTTGTATTTAATTTATTTTTATTTATTTGATTTCCAGTTAGTAATTTTATTGCTTCGACTTAAATGTTGCCTTGGCAACTAACAGATTTTGTCTAATATTTATATTTTATTTCAATTAACAAAAATGTTTTAATAGTAAAATTTATTAGTGTATTAAAATTCATAAATCAGATGCTTGTATTCAGACTGATAAATGTATTTAGATCGCTCATTCAGATACACATTCATATTCATAAATCAGATCGATGTATAAAATTGATAAATCTAAATAATTTAATAATTGATAAATTAGATAAATGTATTCAGATTTGATAATTGAGATTTGTGAAATGTATTCGGACTGCGCATATACACATATTCAGATTCATAAATCAGATCAATTTAATTCAAATTAATAAATCATATATTTGTATTTAGAGGAATAATTCAGATTGAGAAATGCATTCAGATACACGTATTCAGATTCATAAATCAGATAAATGCATTCAGTTTTATAAATCAGTTGATACAAATAAACTTATTAAAATGCATAAATGGTATGTTTGTATTCAGACTAATGATTCAGATTGAGAAATGCGTTCAGACCGCTCATTCGGATTCACGGATTCGGATTCAGAAATCCGATTGTTTACAGAGGAATAGTTCGGGACACTCCCTCTGTCCCAAACTTCACACAGCCCACAGAAACCAGAAAAACCTCGGAACCGGAACATCTCGATCACTCACGTACCATCTGTCGAACCACATCAGAAGAAGCCATATGCGCCAGAAAAGTAGCCAATATTTGTGGTCAAAAGTTGCCGTGACCCGCCTCGTCACACCACTGGGAACAGCACCTCTACCATTTCAGAGGGTTTTGTTTGAACATTAGTCGATAATATATAACGACTTCAGATGTCAGATATATTAGCGAGCACTTTCTTAACATTGCACGTCGATTTAATCCGACTGAAAGCTATAAATCATGCTCGGTTTCATTCATTAAAACCTCTAAAGCTCAATGGAGCTCCAACCCCCCCTTGTCCCGGCAAAGTGGTGCGTTCCCAGCTCGGACTCGCCCTTTGGTGCAACTGGAATCCATTTTGGCTCAACGCGGAGCCGCTTCCCGCGTTAACGCCGGGCGCGTCGGAGCCCAAATGAACGCGCATGTACTCCAGTTTCACACTCGTGATTCCGTTCTCCGACAAGAGTTGCTAGGATGCAAAACATCATCTTTATAAGCTCTACCGACCCCTATCTGACACACTCAGTACTCGGTCTCATCTACAGCCTAGTTTTAATAAGACACGATGTGTTCACTTGCGCACAGAATAACGATTTATCGATGTCAACCTGTCAAAATGACGCAGGCGCAGAGGATTAGATGCTGACTTGTGCATTCGCTTATTTATTTTTATTATTATTAATATAAAACATGATAATGGCGACGGAGTGCACGCAAGAATCCGTCCTGGACTTTCTACTGGAAAACGAGGGGCGAGTGAAAAACAAGGACTTGGTTGCGCATTTTAAAGTCTTTCTGAGCAGCGAAAATGCGAAGCGAGCCGTGCTAAAAGAGAGATTTAAGCGCTATGTGGACAATATCGCCTACGTGAAGCAAGAAAACGGGGAGAAAGTGGTGTGTTTGAAGAAGAAGTACAGATACCCGGAGATGAGCAGTGGGCGCGCGCAGGATGATGATGGTGGTGGTGATGAAGACATCAACAGAGGAATCAATGCATTGCATTTCGAAGAGAACACCAACGTGCATGAAGAAATCAGTGATCTGAAAGCTGTGAGAGACGCTGAGGAGGAGCTGTGTGTGTCTGACATCGCTCTGATTGAGAAAGACCGCGAGCTCTCAGGGGAAAACGAAACTGTGCATGGAAATGATATCAAACCTAATGCTCCTGAGCTCTCTAATGCCCGGTCAACAGGAGAGGCTGGGGTTGGCAGGGCTCCCGTCACGCCACAGGTCATCGTTACTCGACGGAGAACATCCAGGGGATCTCTGCGGAGTCTGCTGGGCTCTTCTGAGGATGGAGCACATGATGCACTACCTGACGATGGCAGCACCCCAAAATGCAGCCGCAAGAACTTCATAGAGCTCATGATGAGCAGTTCTCCACAGGTGGGACGGGTGCAAATACAGTAATGTAATGCGTGTAATAAACATAATCCATATCGTATATAATGCAAAAGCACATAATGCATATAATATACAATGGAAATACACTTAATGCACATAATGCATATAATATATAATGAATAATGCAAAATCATAATGCATGTAATATATGATGCATATGCACATAATGCATGTAATAATGATTATGCACATAATGCAATATAATCCGAATGCACATTATGCATATAATATATAATACAAAATCAGTCACATAATGCATATAATGAATAATGCAAATTCATAATGAATGTAATATATGATGCATATGCACATAATGCATGTAATAATGATTATGCACATACTGCAATATAATCCAAATGCACACTATGCATATAATATATAATGCAAAATCACATAATGCATATGTGCATAATGCATATAATGAATAATGCAAAATCATAATGCATGTAATATATGGTGCATATGCACATAATGCATGTCATAATGATTATGCACATAATGTAATATAATCCAAATGCACATTATGCATATAATATATAATGCAAAATCACATAATGCATATAATATATAATGCATATGCACATAATCCATATAATATAAAATCCAAATGTACATAATGCATATAATACATATTCCAAATGCATATAATAAATAATGCAAAATCGCATAGTGCATATGCACATAATGCATATAATATACAATCCAAATGTACATAATGCATATAATATATAGTCCAAATGCATATAATAAATAATGCAAAATCACATAATTCATATATGATGCATATGCACATAATGCATGTAATAATGATTATGCACATAATGCATATAATATATAATCCAAATGTACATAATGCATATAATATGTAATGCATATGCAGGTGAGACGCTCACTGGTGCACCGTAACTCCCAAGGGTACATGTCAGCCGGAAGCAGTGAGTTCAGAACGTCGTCTGTGGATGAGGATTGTGCTTCGGTAACTTTAGACCCGCTGGAGCACGAGTGGATGATGTGCACGGCAGACGGCGAGTGGGACAGTCTGCAGCGGCTGCTCGAGTGTGAACCCACACTCATCTCCAAGAAGGACTTTGTCACGGGGTTTACGTGTCTGCACTGGGCGGCCAAGCAAGGCAAACACGAGCTTTTCGCAATGCTGGTGGATTTCGCCAAACGGCACGGCGTCGCCATCAACGTAAACGCCCGATCCAGCGCCGGCTACACGCCTCTGCACCTGGCAGCCATGCACAATCGTATAGAGGTCATGAAGCTTCTGGTGGGAGCGTATGATGCAGATGTGGATGTGCGGGATTACAGCGGGAAGAAAGCGGCGCAGTACCTCCGTGCCAGTGTCACATGCGACATCAAGGACATCATAGGGGCTTGTGTGAACTCTGACACAGAGAACGCATCTGGAGCCGGGCGATGGAAGCTTCCTAAAGTCCTGCAGTCCAGTCTCAACCCCCTACGGTTACTGAACCACCCTGAAGAGATGACAGCCGACAGTCAACCCAGGCCCAGGTCTCTGTATCGGAAATCCTCCATCGGCCGCATCAGACTGCAGAGGAACCGCTTCAAGACGCAGATCGTCCACAGCACGTCGTTCAGAGAGAACGAAGAAGGCAAGGAGTCGCTCAAGAGTCCGGTCAAATCCAGACCCTTGTCCAATCTGTTTGGCTGAGACGGCCGTGTGAATAATAGAGACCTATGCAAAGACATTATTACTCTGAGATCAGCTGAGCTGCTTGTGAACTTGGGTCTTTATACATACCTTTTATATTTTAGGATGGACGAGGATGAGCAACTGGAACAAATTTTTAATGCAATCATCTCCTTTATCAAATTATGCACCACTATTTTAGTATTATGAAGCTCTAAAACGTGTAGATGCAATGTAGATTATTTTTGAATGGATATTTTCATGGATGCACTCTTGCGTGTCATGATATCATGTTGCTGTTGCATGTGATTGTCCTCTTGCTCTCCTGTTTTAGTCGCTGTGCCTTTAATTCATCTTCTGATCGTCTTCCAGATGCAGGAATGAACATGTCTTGAGACTGTTATCCCATAAATGTGATTTCAGTGTGTTTATGTGCCGTAGGTGATGTTTAGAAAGCTGCTGTTTAAATGGTTTAAGACGGAGTCTGATTCCATGGCCAGAAAGGAACAGTTCACCCCAAACACTGCAGTGAATGGGTGCCGTCAGAACGAGAGCTGATAAAAACATCACAATAATCCACAAGTAACCACTCCAGTCCAGCAAATAACGTCTTGAGAACACAAATCCATCATTAAGACGTTTTTAACTAAAATACGAGCCCATAATTCATTTTAGGGTGAACTGTTCCTTTAATAACTCATGAGCCATTACATTGGCAATGCACTTTTACCTAATCAAACTGACCAAGCTTTATAATACTGTTGCTCCTAATCACTGATTACTAGCGATCCCAAATACTAATATTCCAAATGTGCTTTCTAAAGTGCCTTTATTGATAATGAAAAGTCATTTTAGGCACTTGTTGTAGATGAATAATATTTTAAATCACCCAGAAAATGTGCTCAATGTTCCTTAAATACAAACTATTGAAACCAGCTGGATGTTTATGTTTCCTGAAGACAATGTGAGTGGTGTTTGGTGTTGCTATGCAGTTGCTAGGGTGCTCCAGCTGGTTGCTAGGTGATGTCAGTGTTGCTATGCAGTTGCTAGGGTGCTCCAGCTGGCTACTAGGTGATGTCGGTGTTGCTATGCAGTTGCTAGGGTGCTCCTGCTGGCTGCTAGGGGATGTTGGTGTTGCTATGCAGTTGCTAGGGTGCTCCAGCTGGCTACTAGGTGATGTCGGTGTTGCTATGCAGTTGCTAGGGTGCTCCAGCTGGTTGCTAGGTGATGTCGGTGTTGCTATGCAGTTGCTAGGGTGCTCCAGCTGGTTGCTAGGTGATGTCGGTGTTGCTATGCAGTTGCTCGGGTGCTCCATCTGGTTGCTAGGTGATGTTGGTGTTGCTATGCTGTTGCTAGGGTGCTCCTGCTGGCTGCTAGGGGATGTTGGTGTTGCTATGCAGTTGCTAGGGCGATCCAGCTGGCTGCTAGGTGATGTCGGTGTTGCTATGCAGTTGCTAAGGTGCTCCAGCTGGTTGCTAGGTGATGTTGGTGTTGCTATGGATGTCGGTGTTGCTATGCAGTTGCTAGGGCGATCCAGCTGGCTGCTAGGTGATGTCGGTGTTGCTATGCAGTTGCTAGGGTGCTCCATCTGGCTGCTAGGGGATGTCAGTGTTGCTATGCAGTTGCTAGGTGGCTCCAGCTGGTTGCTAGGTGACGTCGTACCCGTCGTCTCCGTGATGTTTTGCTCATTCATGCGGAGTAATGATGCCTGACTTGGCAAACTGCACTAATTAACTGCTGCTCTTAAATGACACCGTCGTTAACCAGCTGCTGTCAATCCATTATTTATCTGATGTGAAGACGTTTAGGAAGCACTAAACTTTCACGGTTGGGTCCGAATTGTGTGAGAACTGTGAAATTCTCTCATTTTTTCCGAGTGTTTTGTTCCGTTCGTCATCCTATCAGAATGTCGTTTCGTTCAGTTTGGTGTCGCACACAAATTCAGTTCTTTTCTTTCCCATGAAATTCACAGCTAATCGGATGTAAAGCAGGTACGACCGCTTTTTCTGGCTG